CGTCATGCAGTTCTGCTTCCAAAAAGGGGCTGCTTTCTTTTAAAAAAAGAATCTTCTAAAGGTGCTCTTGTGGAAAAATTCTCAGTATTGCTGAAACAGAAAGGAAAAACAAAAAAAAGGAATGACAGATATATCTGGTACTATTTCTGATTTTACCCTGAGAAAAGTCTGTGTGCTTCAAGTTATAAAGTTTGACCAGGACTGGATCAGTTATCCAGAACTTCTGAGTACAGATGAGATCAAATAGCTTTGAGACTACTGCATTTCATGTACTATTTGTTTTAGGAAAATGTATTTTTATAATGATAATTTTGAACCTTGTTCTGATGCTTAAACATTATTAAAACTAATATGAATTTCAGCTGAAGCATGAATTTAATTTCCAAACTGGTGCAGATTTCAACACATATTTACTCTATTCTGGAGCTTTGCTTATTCACCACTTCACCCTGTCAAGTAAGGAGAATTAAATGGGATGTCATTAAGACCCTACCAGGATGGCGCGTGATTCAGATTTTCCTTTTCCTCCAGGATAATAAGTTACAACTCTTGTTGACTTTTACGCTCTGTTTGGATCCAGTTTACGAGAACTAACTTTGCTTCAGGAATTTTAGTTTTCTCCTGGCTTCCTGAAGGAATCTCCCCCTAGAGGCATTTAACGTTTCTGCAAAGTGACATGATGGCTTTGCTTATACTTCAGGGTGATCTGCACCCCATTTGTGCACTTGTATTTGCTACTCCCCCTCTTTTTTAAAAACATTCTCCCCAAAGTCTTGCTGTGCAAAAAATGAGGCTGCTTGCTCTGTTTGTTTGTTTTCTGCATAAAAAAGTGCAAATGTTTGTGTAAATGTATCCTTTATTGATTGTCAATAACCTGAACTGGCATTCTCCCATCATTTTTCTACAGATTCTCTTTGGATTTGCATGCAGCTTCTGAACTCAAATGATTGCTTGAACAATCTCTGCATGTTCACACCTTTACAACTCTTGCTTTTATTTCTTTTTGCAGTGCATTTTTGGGCTCAGGAATATGAATCCACCTTAATGAGCTGGTCTGTCTTCATCCTATTCTCTTTCAGGCTTTGCTGGCTTTCCGATATCTTCCTACATCCATTCCCTATTGATTCCTGGCCCAAACACTGAGATCTATCAACATGAGCATTGCTAGAAATGATTCTATCACTTCTATATTGAGCTTAACCTTGCTTCTCTGATCAGGCTGAAGAAATTATCTGTAAACAAAAAGGCTTTCTCATTTCTTTCTTTCATAGCTATATAGTCACTGTAAGTCACTTAATAGAAATGTCAGTTTGTCCCATGGATGTAAAATAACAGAGACCTAAACACATACTGCCTTGCCTGTATTTGATGTTTTCCTATCCGCCTCTTAGCAGACCAAATTCAGCATTGCTGTCAAAATTACAGCTCTTGTGTGCCATAGCCAGGTTCTCTTTCACTCTGTTAGCTGAATGTGGCTGCTTCATCCCAGTTTCTGCAGGGTGCATCTTTTAGCTAATGAAATCTTTGACTCATCTCTGTCCCATCCTTGACAATCCCAACTCTGGCAACAAGACAGTTATGAAGAGTTGTCCCTCTGTGGGTGCTAACCTGGGCGTTGTGATTTAATCTCTAGGGTATTTTGCTCATTCCGACTTCATTCCCTCAGCAATGCACAGAAGCAAATCCATAATAAACCCATGTTATAGCATCTGTTTCTCAGTCCTCTGAAGTCCTCATTTCCACAGGAAAACAACTCTAAAGGAAGTCTGAGTCACAGAAAATTAAAACATTGATAGCAAGAAGACTTCAAAGGAAAGCCTCTGTTATTGGAAGCATCCACCCATCCATCCATCTGATCTTTATGGAGATAACTGTCCCTGTCTCATCACCTCTCCAACCACATGTACCTTCTAAGACATATTATGGGAGGAGATCATAAGTACCTGTTCACACATATGGTTGAGAAAGGGTCTAGTAAGGAAAACCAACAAAAATAAAGGAGGAACCTTTCATTCTTTGTTTATCAAAGGTAAGAAACAAATAGAACAACACAAGAATAAGAAGTTAAAGCCTAGTGGTCCTTATTCATATGGCTTCCATATTCTCAGGCTTGACCTAGCTTACACTTGTCTGCCAGTAGCACAGCTCATCTAATTTTAAAAGATAAGGTATGCTTGAAAGGATGTCTCTCTGCCCAAAGGACCTGCAGTCTGATTTCATTAAAAGTCAGCTATAAATCTTTACAAGATTTCCACTGTTCTTGAGGCAGCCTGGTCTTTACGTGACTGACAAACTGAAGGCGTGATTGACTTTGGGCAGCACCTATTACATCCGGATCAAATGGTGCTGATTCATTATCTCTGTAAATCAGGGTCTCAACAGCTCAGGTTCTGAAACCCAAATTTCTGAGCACTTGCTGCAGTGTAACCTTCAGTGACTCCTATCCAGAAAAAGAGCAGTATGTGCTACTCCGGCTTAGCTTGGTGCATGTCTTTTGGCATGGTTGGAATGGCATTTTATTTTGCTTCAGTGGATGTGCTGTGTATTCAGTTCCTGTCCGTTACAAAATTGCCTTTTTGCTGAGAGAAATGTAGCAATTTCTTGGAGTTGTATCTAAAAATGGGACAGATCAACGGCTTGCAGAAATTTAATTACTGTCTGCTTTTTAGTGAACATGACAGATTCTCTTTTAAGGGTAAATCAGTGGTATAGTATCCAGAATGCTACAACAGCATTATGTCCCCAAAAGCCCAGCTTTCCATTTCATCAGCCAACATTTGAGGGAATTTCCTAATGGCAAATGATTCTTCACCAGACATTGCTACACTGCATAGTAAATAGCTCACAGAAATTACTCTGATGTTGTAAATGCTTGGTTTTCAACCTTCTTATCCCATGGAAAAACTTCATGGCCTTTGTCTGGTATTTTTCTACACCTTTGCCCAGGAAGACAGGGTTTGGCATGGAGTGGGGGTCGGCTTGAACCAACATACCTGGGGGGGTGGGAGAGGAGGGATTTCTGCCTTTGGAGCAGCTCAATTAGGAGCAATTAAGAGCCTTTGTCTGGGGGAGGCACTGGTTCTTTCCACAGTGGCTTTTTTCCCTTGTTCATGGTGATTCTTCAATCAGACCAGAAGGGTAGGAGGTGAATTTGTTGGGCCTGAGTGGAGATTCTGCTTGCTGGAGTCTTCAATAGACATGGCTGGTTTGGAGTCTGGACATGCAGATTGATGGCCAGGATGGCTCTGTAACCATCTGAGAAGCCATCAGGAAATAGCACAGTAGTTCGAATATTCGCTATGTCCACTTTAGGATGCAGACATTTGGGACTGAAGGGGATGATTATTCCCCTGGACTAGATCTTTGCTGGCCATTTTTGGCCTTTTTAAAAGGTTTAATGATAGGATGTATTTTTGCAAGTTTTCCTCCAAGTTTTGAGTCTACATTTCAAACTTCATTTACTGCTATCATAATAAAATTCCTGTACCTCCATCTCTATCGTTCTTACATCTTTGCTCAAAGACGTGCTAGAAGCTCATGAATTTAGAGGCATGTGGAAGGAAGAGTAAGGATGACTGGGAGAAAAGCTGAAGTTGTTAAAGGTAGGGTGCGATAGCAACTCAGATCCCTGTTTCTTGGGTAAGCCCATTGTTTGCCATAGGTTGGGTGGAGTCCTGAGAGGTGTGACAGTTCTGTTTGGGGCTCCCATTGCCCAGTTGCTGGGCACGTGCTGACCTGCCCTTTAAGGAAGATAGTCTTGCTGCAGTAGGACTTCTATTGTAAGCTCTATTTTGCTCTTGATCCTAGTCTTCAGATCACAATTCAAGCTGGGGCTTGTAAAGTAAAGCCAAAGGAAAAAACTAGTAGTTATGTGTTGATTTTATGCTAATGAATTTCTTCTTTGCTTTAAAACTCAAAAGAAAAGGAATATCAATGAAACAAAACAACAGATGCAATAATTTAGACATCAGACATACTAGAGAGAAACGTGTCTCTGGAGATAGGAAAAGAGAAGGGTCAGTGTGATCATAGAAGAAATCTTTAGCTAAAACAAAGTTCAGTCTCTGTAAGAGCATCAGTGACTTTTTTGTTACTTAGAAATTAACCCATGTTGTATCTCAGGGGATTTGTATTCATTTGAACTTGCTGATTAGGAAGTATATTGTATTAGTGAATGATACTAGTTTGTGAAGAGATGAGCAAGTGCCAGGAGGAAAACCCAAAAGGCCACACTGGAAAATGTACTTTCTTCATTTATTTAATGAAGCCAGATCTTTTATTTAGAGTGTTTCAGTAGAAATGCATCAGAAAATTGGATGTTTTATTTAAATGATCTCTGAAAATGAAGCTATTTGCTATAGCACTGTTTCTCCTTTTAAATTCAGTGGTGGTGACACTGAGGGCTAAAGTGGTAAATAGGGTGGTAGGACACCTTTTCAAATCAATAGAGTCTGTTAGGAGGGCTGAGGTTTGGGGTGTTTTTAGCATTAGTATCAGATGTAATTTAAAGTCCTTAAAATTCTGCAGTTCCAGTTTTCAAATCACAAGAATGATAAGTAGTGTGCCTCTCTAGTCCCTTGTCCCTAGTAGTAAGTCTTTAAATAGCTATGCTTCAAATTAAGAAATCACTGGTGCACATTAACTTCCAACTAACACATAAGAAGTAGACTGTATTAATTACTGAGTTCATCTGTCTTGAATGCATGCTGATAGTGATCAGATGTGAAAAAGAAACCTGGTATGGTCCATCAGGTCCAGTTTGTGTAGGATGTGCTGTACAGTCATTTTTCATGAGCTGTAGGTACTTTAGATTCTGTGTTGTGAAACACTTTTTTTTTCCTCTCCCTCCATCCCAATCCTCTTCCTGCTAGGTGCACTAAGAAGAGCACAGAAGGGGCCCAGAGGGGTATAATCCTCATCACTGAAGAAACAACATAGGAAATGTGTGCAACACTAACAGCTGAGAAAAACATGCTTCATATCAGCAGCAATTAAAACTGATGGGCAGCATCATTGGAACCATGGGGTGCAGCAGTTCTGTAGCTGACAGAAGGTCAGAGAAAGGTGAGTGCTGCCTCTGTCTTCATGGTCAGTGGTTGTTCTCTCTGTAACACCAGAAGAGGATTGCAAGGTTACATTTCCTCCCAGTCCTGTTGTCAAAATACTTGTTCAGTGAAAATTATTTTCTAATTATCTTCTTTCTAAAGGAGTGCATAGCTTTTAGATGCTGGCTGAGGTCAGAAGGCAATTGCAGACCACCTCTAACATCTACAGATTGGGTCGGATAAGATACACAGCATCTAGGACAGAAGCTACATTTCAGATGTGTCTATGCTCGGCCTATCACTGGCAAAGCATATGGGGTAAGGTACTGAGGGAGAACTTTTATGGCCTTTCACAACATAGGAGTCCTGGGCAAACTGCCCCAATTTCCCTGCTGATGGATGACCCTGATTATGAAACAAGTGTAATAAAGCAGAGCTATTACAATGACTCTCAGAATCAATTTTCTGCCAGACCAAGTACCTGGGCCTGAAATTCTCCCTGAGAGTCATTGACCACAGTCCTTGGTTAAATGTTTGATTGAAAAACTAATGCTTCATCCCCCTGCTTTTAATCATACCACTCCCTAGTATGAACACACCAGGCTTTGCACAGGCGGGTGGGTTCCAGGATTGGCACAGCCCTTTGTTCAGACCCTTTGTGTTCTCTTTCAACATTTGTCATCAAAGCACAATTTACACATCTGCTAAGAGCCATGTTACATGGCTTAGTCTATTATTATGCTGAACAACCATGGTTGAAAAGGAAGGCTGTTTTTTGCTACCAAGCCAGGACACAAGTCACAAGAAACTGGTGACTAAGAAGCAGGAGCACTTAGTCATGTCTACAAAGATCCAAGCTGACTGGTTTAAGGGTAACCCTCAGCTTTGTGTACAGTACTTGGCAGCCACAGCAACACCAATGCTGTATCACAGCAGTGGAAGTAGAATGGAAACATCTGGAGTCCCAGACCTACCTGTAACTGGAAAGTGGGCCTTCCTCTTTGGGTTTGCGTGCTATGTGCCTTGAAAGGCCTTAGAGACAAGTTAGTTGGGAATATTTCTGAGGGTGTGAAAGCTTCGAGTGGGCATGAAGAGTTGTACTCTTTCTCAGTCTACAACCATCAATACACATTGGTGTGGAGCTAGGCTTTGCTACCCCAAAGCTGGCTAATAATTTTGTGTACTTGTTTGACAATGTTTTGTCCTCTCCAGTTGCTAGATGATAGTCTTCAGCACTTCAGCAGAAGTGAAATGATGCTGAACCGTCATTCTGTCTGCAGCCTGAGGCTGTACATCCCTCTAATGCATTCATAACATGAATTTAACAGGTACTTGCTGGTGTAGAGACCACCTGCAACTGATAATTTCTTTCACAGATGCAGTTTAACCTAGTGTGAAAATCATGTTCTGATTCAGTCCTGAGAGCAACAGTGCTGTAATAAGTACAATTAACAAAAAAATGACAGGAAATATTCTGTTAGATTTGCAACATTAACCATGGTGGTTGATATATATCTGCCTTATGTGATACCAGTGGAACTGTGCCATGTTATGTGCTCAGGACCATTAAGCAACCCAGGGGGGCTTTAATGGGAAGTTTAATGGTTCTGATGCTGGAAATCAGTTTCTGTGATGGTGGCTGTGCTTTGCGCCTTAGGTACTTTTCAAAACAGAAAAGTTGATGACAGCCTTGCTGTGATGTGGCTTTCAGGTCGGTGGTGGTGGTGAATTCCAGAAAGGACAGAAAATAAGAGAAATCTCAGTTTATGTAGGGTACAAAGGATGCTCTTAGTCATATAAGTTGTATATTACATTTCCTTCAGACAGGATGCAATATCTGTAGGATGGGAGTCTTCACTGGTTTTGGCCTCATCCGGACTAGAAAACTTTACCACTTTAACTATACTGTATAGTTATTAATGGTGAAATAAGCAAGCAATGTGCTATTATAGCACCTGTAAGCATTTTTATTAAAAGCTTCCATAATGTTATACATTTATTACTAGACTCACTTTTCCATGGAAGCTTTTCTTTACCTGCATAATTGTTAGTTTAAGAAAATCATTCTCACTCAGGGGGTGCCACTCATTCTAGTCTCAAAATCCTAGATATTTGTGATCATCTGTTATAGCTGACTAGTGTAAACTGTTGTCCTTCTAGTATAGATCTTTTCTTTGCTGTTTTGCAGTGGGGGGGGGAAAGCATTAGTATGGATTGTTGGTTGTTATTTCTTGTTCTGTTTTGTTTTTCAGTATCAACTGTTCATTTTGGCAACTGTAATAAAATAGAAGTATATTTGTGTGAAGACATTAGTGTTGGTTTTAGTTTCCTCTGTTTTTTCTTTTTGACGAATTTGCAGTGCTGTGCAGTGGTGATTGTGTTGAACTCTGGAATTCAGGAGAATGTCTCAGTGTTGTTTCCGTGCTTCTCCTGATCGTCTCTTCATCTGCTCAGAAATGAGCTCTAGTTATTGGGAGTGTCAGGAGTTAAGATCAGTATATTCCTCTGGTCCTTGCACCTTCGATAGAGTTGCCCTACAGCTGCTTTGACTTGATCAGAAGCATAAAGACTTTTTTCTGTGTCCTATGCTGAGCTATTCAGGACTGAGTTCCTTGGGAAACTCCTTGAAGTGAGGTGTTAGCTGTAGAGCTGGAGGCAAAGGGTTGACATTTCTGGCCCTGTCTACTTATTCACTGGTATCCTGTTGAGAGTACAGTGAAAAAGAAGTAAGGAACCAGTCAAGAAAGAATTATGTTCAACTTTAAGTGAGTGAATGTGACATCTCTTGAGAGCAGCCTCCTACTTTATTTTTTGTTGCCAGGTGACAATATGGTGTTGGAGATGCAGTTGCATTGGGACAGGTGCAGGATCCAATACATATATCTTCCTCTCACTGTTATGTGCTGCTGCATGTAACGCCTCTTGACTGCCCCTGTTAGCGCTCTGTAGGGCTAAGCATGTCCTCTTCTGACTGTAATTTGAGCAAATGACTAGATTTGAATTTGCCATTATTTCAGCTGCTAGATCTTCAAGGCAGTAGCTGCATTTTGTTCCGATTTTGTGTAGTGAATGGTGTCCTCCTCTGGATGATAAATCCATGCTTATATATGCCCTAAGCATATGAGACGTGCATTTATTCCTCTCTAGCTGACCAAGGAATGCGTTTCTCAAAGTTAGTTGATCTTTCTGGATAAGCATCCTCAAACCGCTAGAGAGTCACAGCTCTATGAAGCAGCAGAAGGTACTGATGAGATCATCTGTTTCTCCTCTCCCAAGCTTATGGTTATTTCAGGCTGAGCACAGCCTCTCCAGCCTTCCGCTTTCACTCCTCCCTGCAGGTCTATCAGAGCATCAGTGATCACCTGTAATGCTGAGGGCACACCTACCCGCCTTTCCTCTTGTCTTCCTGCAGGCAGTGATACCACCGCCAATATTTCACGCCCTGGCTCCTGAGAGCTGCTGCTCTTTGAGTGTCAGGAGTAGCAGGGAGGATTGGCAGTCTGGTGGAGAGTGATCAGGTGGACATCAGCTCCCGGATCTCTTGTCCTCCTGTACAGCCCTTGCTGGTGGCCACTGTTCACACAGCATTTACTGCTTGACATAGGTGTAAGGAGCTCTCCCCACAGGGCACCGCCCACTCCAAGACCTCTTTGCGCCACTAGATGTTGTTCTGCTTGATAAACTTTTATCTGAGCAGCTAAGGGAATGTGATCTGTTTCTGGCGTGGCTGGGGCCTGTAGGCAGCGGGCCTTTCACCCTAGGCTGCAGGCTTGGTGACTGTCCTTCAGTGAAGTTTCCACCAGTTTTCCAGACTGGGACAAAAGTTGACACAGCTCCTTAACGTGCTGAGTGGGATGTGTATTTTGCACATAGTCCAAAATGGTCTTCTTACATGTCCTATTGAATTTTTGAAGTGAGTGTTCATTAGTTCACCAAGCTAGCCAAAGGTAGCAGCTGTGTGCCCTTTGGCATGTCTATTTAAGCAACTATTTAAGCATCTATTCTGTCTTTCATTACCATTTGTTAACATCTTATCCTAAGGTTTGAATTTTGCTGGCTTGCTGATACAGCTGTGCAGGCAAAAACTTTCTTTTAAAAGAGGCTGTTACAAATTCTGTCATTATGCAATGCTCATGTTACAGCTTGCAGTCTGAAACTTTTTACTGTAGCTTGGTAAAGAAATAGATTTTGTTGGTAGGCCAAACTGCTCTTCTTCCTTTTCTTACCTTCCCTAAACCCACATACTGCCCATCAGCTGAACATAGCTGACTTCTTACATGGATACTGTCTTCAGGACAATGAAAATGGGGACAGTTTTTCATAATATAGGCCTGAGCAAGTCAGCTAGCTTGGGATCTGTCCCTGAAGGCAGGAACAGTAAATGCATCATGTATTCGTTATCAGAAAACACTTTTTAAGTCTCACTTTTACAGAGCTTCATTTTAATGTCGACCATGCACAATGGACTGAATTTGTCATCTGTCTGCAGAATTCTGCAAAGGTAGCATGTGTGTTTTCATTGTAGATTATACTGCATCCATGTGGACTTTGCTTTCTGTTTTGACAGTCATTAGAGCTGCCATCCTCATCCAGAATTGGTACCGCTTTACAATGGCCCGGCTAGAGATGAGGCGCCGCTATTCTTTGAGTATCTTTCAGTCAATTGAATATGCTGATGAGCAAGATCAACTACAGGTTTGTAATCTTCAATTCTTCCTGTACAACCAGCTATGTTATTCCCAGAGGACTGAAGTTGCACAAACAAAATGGGTATGTGGTTATTTCTACCTACAAAGCTGTGTCCTGTATAATAAAACTGCTTCCCTGGCTCACACATGAACTAATTAAGTTGTGTACGTGTGTGTGTGTATATATATAAACTACATAAGGAGCAGGGCACCGTTCTGCCCATACAACCATATCTAGGTTATAGGTTCCTGCAGAACAGCTCTGTTAGCCAGGGATTGCAGGTCATCCCGCTATGGGTGGTCTTACTGGTCTCTGTGAGGGAAGACACGTGCAACAGAGATATCTATGTCTCAGCATGTCAGCCCAGGCTTCTGTTAGGGTTAATACAGGGAATTAGGAACCTCTAGGGCTTTGTGTTCATCCTAGAACTGGTGTCTAAAGTCAGTTTGGTGCATTGTAGCAGTTTCTTTCTATTGACTACGAAGGCAGTCTAGGCAAACAGTCTGCATGTTAGGCAAGACGAATTACACCCCAAAATATCAGCAGCATTGATACAGCTCTGGAACTTTGTATGTATTCATATAGTGTCAATCTGCTAATTCATAGCAAAGAGGGATAGGCGTAAGCTATTTTTGTAGTAGGACACAAGTTGTGTCATTATTGTGGGCTGAGGTTATGGGAACATACAGTAGTGTCTAAGAGCCCCTTAAATGGGAAATTGCTAGTATTTAAGTAAGGAAAGAGAATGTTAATACTTGTTGGATCCCCTGAACTGATCACTGTGTGTTTGTTCTTTTCTGTATTCAGCTATCCAACTTCTTTACATTCATGCTGGATCACTGTACTCATCCTGATTCAGGTAAGGATAAAAATCAAATCAATATGGAGATTCTATTTGACAAACTTGATGTGAGGAAAGTTAATTTTCAATATGATGTTTACAACCTACAGTGCATGCTGGGGCTGAGGTTTGATTTCCCAAGTAGTGTAATAAAAATTTGATCCTGTAAATGTGGACTCTGCTCAATACCTAGCCAGTGAGTCAAGGCAGGGCAGATACTGTTGTCCTTCTGAGAATACTCAGAGGTGCTCAGAGTGCTTTCTTTTATGTTACTGCCCTTAAGCTGTTCTCACGGCAGTCTTACTGACTCTGATTTTCATAGCTTTCTATGCATGTTTTCTTAAACCATGAGATGTGATTATGCAGAAATAACGAGTCTAGCTGGTTTAGGGCAGGTGTAATCAAAGAGGTTGCCTTCAAAGAGATTGCTCTTTTTTTTTTTTTTTTAATGAAGCAGTTCTAGACCACTTTTTAATTTAATTTGTTCTAGATTTTGCTGCAAAACATCCATCAGTATGTGAATTATTAAAAATTAAATAAATTTAAACAGCTGGAGATAAATCTTCAGAAACCATCTCAATTACAGCTCAGTTATTCAAATAATAACCTTTAATTTTTGAAGTATTATGGGGTCCTTGGACAAAACTTACTTTTGAGGTCAAGCTCAACAGAAGGACAGACTGAAAATTACTTCCTAAGTCCAGAAAACAAACATGACTTCTCTGAATAAATTGAGAATATATCTAATCCCAACAGAGTTAAAAAGGAGGCTGTCCTCTTCTTACTGAATTACAAGAGCACGTCCTTTCTCTTTCATCTGGTCCAGCCACAGGTTATTCCAATTAAAATTTGCACAAGACACTTTGATAGCAGGATAAAACCACCATCAAAACCATAAGTGGTTCAGTGTTCTAATGGCAACCATTAGAAATGGCAATTTTTCTCTCTTGAATACTTTAGAATGCCTAATGCTCTCTGTGCTCTGCAGAAAAAGAAATTATGTTTGAGCTTTGCTCCAAAGCCAAGGCGGATGATACAATAGTCCTTCCTTTGATTTTTTCCATTACCACTGTATTCCACAAAAAAAAATCTGCTTCAGTCGTTTAACTTTCTGGGAAGGAGTTGGGCAACTCAAAGAAAATCAGACACTGTTCACTTCGTCTACTTCTATATGCTGATAGTGCACCTCAGTTCAGCTTTTCCACCTGAGTGGGAAAGAAAATAGTAGTGCTAGGTCTGAGATTTGGAAAAATAGTGTTAATCTCTATTTTCATTATAATATTAAAAGGGAGTTTTACAGCCGCTCGTTGTAGATATGCTTTATCCACCTTTATTAACTGAGTCTATTGACAGAAGGAACAAAGGTGAGTGAGGTGCCTCAGGTGACTTGCTAGGGCTCAGGACGTTGCTGGGTACAGAGCACACTGCTACATGGAGATCCAGGCCCCACCTGTGCACAGGGAGGGGCGGAGGGTACTGTGGGCTGCCCCTTGTCACCATTGTGCGGTTGACCTCTTTATTGATCTTGCAGATATTGGGAGTTGTGGACATGCTTAAGGCTGAAACTCATGATGAACTGTATTGTTTATGGTGAAGCTTCGCTTTGTCTTGCTTGCTTAAAACTTTCATCTGTTAGGACTGAAGTTGATAAGGCTTGCTAACTGCTCCAAAGGCTTTATTTTTGTCTTGGTTTGTTACTTCCCCCTTTCAAATACCCCATGTTACAGATACCAGAACCCAAAAAGAAACAGAAAGATTCCCTAAGATGTGTGTTTAACAGGGAGATGGCCCAGGCCACCTATGCAAAGGAGCTGACTTAGGGTTTTTTTGAGAAATTGCGTATCAAATTTGTGTCGTGGTTTGCAGTTATGTTTGTCCAACTACTGGCTGTGTGCATTCTTTACTTCAAGCTCTTGACTACTTGCACCTTTAAGTGACCTTTGCAGCACCCATACTAGCTGTACTGATTTAAGAAAAATCAGTGCTGAAAAGAGTGATTCTTAATGAACTGCTTGCACTTCTGCTGAATCACAGTATTAGGATGTGAGCCACAGTGAGTGTAAACATAACAAGCAGAGAGGCTTCAAATTGGCTTTGCTATTTCCAAGCATTTTCTAAAACTCACGATTCTCTAGCTTTTTTTTATTAGTGTGTGCTCACTTAGAGTGGTAGCATATGGTTCAAAAGCCCACTTCAAGAAGATAGTATATAATATTTTTAACAGAGCATAGGTTGCCCATTCTTCTCAGTATGTGATGAGAAAGCTACCTGAAGATTTTGTGATTTGTGTGTTCTTCCTTATATTATAAACCACTCAGTCTCCACTATTCATCTTGTCACTTTCTTCTTTTTAATCTGCCTTTTCAGAATATGTTTTCTCAAGAAAGAAAGCAGCCATCTCATTAACACAGTGGTGCTTTTGATGTGATTGTCTATCTGTTGTACCCTGAAGCTGATTTCATCCTCTCATCCTGCTTAAGATGTTAGTGCAGTTCAAGCTGTGACTGGGATATTATATAGCTGTGTGTCTTGTTCTTACTCTGCTTCTAATTAAATGCTATTTTCCAAGGGTTTGTGGGAAGAATTAAACTCTTTTGCACCTTACACTTTTCTCCCTCCCTCCCCCCCAAAAGCTGCATACCTACTCAGCCTTTCAGTGGAAAGATCTCTGGTCAGAGAATGCTGGAAACTGCTTCTCCAGCAAAAGATGACCCATTTTACTTACTCTTTTGTGAGTGCAGTGAGGGTGAGAAGTCTGCTAACATGTCCTGGGCAAACTGGTGGGACTGGGAGTCCAAGCACCCCCTGGCTGTGACTCTCAATGTCACCAGGGCAGGAGCCAAACCTCCTGGAGTCTGCTTTCAAAAGGGAACAAAAAAAATCCTGTTGTTTCACTCCCCATGATGTCTCCCTTACAGCATTACCACCCTTCCAAGGCTTTTTGCATAGAGGCATTCCTCCTGCAGTGGGGAATGAGTCACAGTGCTTGCAGCTTACAGCACTAGGAACAGCATGAAGGAATACATGTTTGGAGCATTGTAGAGATCTTCATGGGCTCAAGGTCCATCTGGCTTTGACCTGATGGCTGGGAATCAGTATCTCGCAGATGTAAGAGCACTCCTCAGGAATCAGGTGCTCTCAGACACCCCAGTGATTAGACTGAAGGTGCATAGATGGTGGCAGAGCAGAGAGCTTATTTCAGAGTCGCAGAAGCAGCTTATTCCCTGTTACCCTCCTAGTGTTACCCCCATGCTTGGCAGTGGCATCTTTGATTTGCCTTGAACGACTCCCATGGCGAGGTGGTCCTGTCAGGAGAACCAGGTTCCTGGGCTTTCTGTGGCCAAACTGATTCCACATAGCTCTGGGCTTTTGTGTTAATAGGGGATGTGGCTATTGTCCTGTAGGGTAGCTGTACATGGTCTGCTAATGACGAAGGCTCAACTCACTGAGCTTAGGCTAGGCCTCTGGCGTCAGAGTAGAAAGCAGGTCGTTCCCTGTGCTCTCTGTAGTCAGTGGAGAGATGCAGATACTGGCAGAGGGTATTTCATTCTCCCTAAAGATGGGTGCCTGAGCTAGGCATGGCGAGAGTTTTCTTCCTTGTCTTTTAATGTGGACTGAAAAAGCCTTGACAGCTTCGACTAGAAGATGGCTGAAATGAGAAGGGTGTCGAATCCTTCAGAATTAGTCCCGCATGGGGCTTGAGGTGAGCTGGGGTAGTCATTGGCCAGCACACTAATCCCCAAGCTGCATTAGGGCATACATTACTGATTCCTCTGGTAGCTGAAAGACTGCCTGAGGAGACGTAATCGCACTCTGAGGCTAATGACCATGACTGGCTTTTGGTGACTCATCCAGAAGTGGAAAATGGGGTGTACTTTGCAGAGATGTGCCCTACAGAGAAGGTGATTGGGTTTCTCAGCCTGGGCATATGCCAAAAAGGAAGCAAGGCTGCAAGGAAGGCAGGTTCATGTTCAGAGGTAAAGGGAAGGGTAGCCTGCTGCATGCAGGAAGGGAGGGCTGGAGTAGGAGCAGGCATGGGCAGGTGTCTGCTTGACTTGAAATGCTGAGAAGACCGCCGACTCGAAAGGAGTCGTGTCAGACAAGGAAAGCCTCTGGCCAGAACAGGCAAGTGATGAGGAATTTGGGTGGTCTGAGGAACTGGCTCCATGGTCTGCAGCCACCCACTTCCCAAGGGGTAGGGCACAGAGGCAGGTGCCTTCCAGAGACCCACTGCTAGAGCTGGGATAAGACTTGGTGCAGATGTGCTTGGCTGATTGGTGTGTGGGAACCAGCAGTTTCAGTCAATGGGTGGTGTTTGGGCATCTGGGCAGGCAAAGCTGTAACTGTGGTGGAAGGTTGCAAATCAGACTGTGCTTGGTGAAAACGGTGAACCCAGAGCACCTTGCTGTTACTTGATGCCTTAATCCGTTTACGTGGCTGCACACTGAATGTGCTAATCAGCTCACAGCAGAAGAGCTGATTAAAAAAAGGGATTTTTAAATCCAGAGATGCTAAAAAGTGTATTTTTTATCTATTTATGTCTTTAATATGGATTTTATCCGCTTACAAGACAAGCTGGCCTTTATGACTCTCATAATTTATGGGCCCACATGGGGGTTTTGGCTGCTGTGAGTTTTGAGTCACAGCCACAGGTATTCCTCCAGCAATAAATAATACATTTTTATTTCCAGTTGCATCTAGTCGAGGTTACAGAAAACTTACCGATAGCTCAGCAAAAAGTGTTTACAACAATCACCTCATAAGAGCAACTCTGCAACAGCAGCGGCCAGAACACTGTCCTCAAGGGTCTGAATCTCTCTTTTAGAATAATAGATGGTAAAGACAATCTGCAAGAAGAAAACACCGAAATTTGCTGTTCACTCAGTTACATTTCAATGCTATGTCAAGCAAATATTGGATTGAAGCAATAAGCAATGCTCCTGCTTTCTCCATGTTGCAGGAAAATTAGAAGGAGCTATGTTCTGCTTTTACGACTATATTTTTGTTTACTTCATCCATTGGTTTTATGGCAGCTAACCAAAAGCTGGCATTGTTTCCTAGTGGTATTAGAAAGGAGTGCTTTGCAATCCACTCTGAAGAAACAGGATTTTGTGTTTTAAATATTCAGTGAGCTGCTGGTCTTTAACCTAAAAATTTTATGTAGAAAATAAAAGCAATAAAAGCAAATATTTAAAATCTATATTTAAAGTGTAGTATTGAACTTTAAACAAATGATGGTCATTGAATCATCAGTCATGACTTTTGAATCTCCTGGCTTTGTTGGGGAAGGAGAACACAACTTCAGTGCAAAATGTTTTGCATCCTCACCACAGCTACTGATTATTGGGACAGAGTTTCTGCCTAGGGCTTTTTGGTTGGTTCGTTGGTTTTTGCATGAGGGGGGGTGTTTTGGGGTTTTTTTTGTAATATTTTGAAATAATCTGGGGAGACCTGGAGCTCTTCCACTATACAAGGCAGGCATTAGCCACTGTAATACTGCAGGAAGTAAAGCATCAGTTACATTCAACCAGTTCTGGTCGTGCCTTACAGTCCTATGGGGCACTGGTGGAGTTTCTACATTGTTGGTTTTCTTCCCTCTTGTTTCAGTTTCTCACATTTTCACCAGCCCTAGTGTTGCTCAAGTGGTGGACGAAGGCTTATGTTTAACAGAATTTGAGAAGATGATTGATGTTCCAGATTCATATTATGGGCCACGACTCTCATTCCCCCTTACTGTTGAAGATGCCAATGCTCTCCTTCACGCTTTCAGAAATGAACAGGTAAGTTGCCACTAGTTTGATTTCTTTTTGCTTACTTTACAACTCTGTCAAGCTGTAGCTCTACAATCAGTTGAACCCAATGTTCAACTAACTCAATGTTAACTAGGGCTAAACTGTGCCCTAGGAGATATTTCTCCTTTTGTTTCCATCCCATTACCTTTTCCTGCTAGCCCCAAGTGATCATACAGGTACACGGTAAGCTGTCTTGGGAAACCGATCTGGTTGGAAGCGAACACAACAAAATCAAAAGCAGTCAGTTCTCAGCCAGACCAGTTCCCAGATTTGATTCATGGCTTGGCTGCATGACCACCAGAGCCAGCACTGGGGAGGGGGCAGGGACTAGTCGGGACCTCCTCTTCTAGCACTGAGATAACAGTGATCATGAAATGGGAACTGGTAGCAGCAGCAAGGCAGGGAATATCAGTGAAGACGCACGACTGGAGAAGGTATCCTAAGCTAACTTAGAAACTAGTTATCATCTTTTTTCTGAGTTAAAGGCGCTCCTTGTGTGGTCCCTTTTTATTTTTTTCTCCCCATCTCATTCTTTTTAGAGGAATTGAGGTGCAAGGGTTAGTCACCTGTTCTAGCATGCAAGACTCCACCATAGTGGAAGAGTGAATATGAAGCATTGCTAATGTAGCGGAACAGGGTGATAGCACAGATTTCAGGAGCTTGCTGTCTGCGGCTGCCAAGGCACTGAGAAGGCTCTTGCTGGCTCTGTGTTCCTGAGAACAGTCCCTTTGCTGCCCTCTTACAAGATGAGGGTGGGGCAGGGAGGCATTATATGGCACAGCTTTTTTTTAACTTGTTGTCATTTATGCTTAACAATATATTGTATATAGTGGATAAGGGTCTATCTTGCTTTATAAAGCGCGTGATAAATGAGCCCACCTGGACTTCAGCCTACTGTCAGCTTTCTTCTTTTACTGTCATTGGCATTTTATTAAGGAAATGATTATGCATAATTGGCCTTTTTTGTTTGCTTTAAAAACATGAATCTTGAAATGTCTGTCTGTAGCTCATCTGTCTCTTCTACCAAACTTTCTCAGAGCCGTATTTGAAAAAATCACTGACAAAATTATCATAAAAAACTTCAGCAGAGAAGACCAGAAGCTTCAATGTTGCATTCTCATAACATCTTCACAGCAAACAGGGAGATAACTTTTAATAAGGCAATCCTTGCTGGAGTTTCCTTCTCATTATTTTTGCAGTTTTCTGAAATATCATTTATGGCCTTCGGGGTTTTTTTGGTTGGTTTGTGTGGTGTTTGTTTTTTTTTTTACTCACAGCTAGAACTACATCCATTTTTCTTTCCAGTTGCTTTGAACAGATGACCTTATGCAGTGATTCTGAGTGCTGTATAACTCAGTCTCATCCTTTCTGTAGATGGGAAGAGTAGAAACAGCACACTAGAAAGAAAATAGGAAAATATGTAAAGCAAGTTCATTCAGGGTTCTCTATACATTCACCAGGAAGCAAGTACAAAGCTATGAATATTCCTAATTCCCGGCACTAAACCATACAGCCTGTAATCATGTCTGGAGGTCTGTAGTATAAATAATCTTGGCAATACATGTCTGATATTATTAATAAAGTAGACAGACATATTGCTACTTCTAATAAGTCTCAGTTCTCTCCCTGCATTTTTTTCTCACAGCTGCTTCATGCCCGCTATGTACTGCAGCTACTATGTGAAACTAGGAGGGTTCTCAAGGAGATGCCAAATATCACCCATCTTTCAACTTCCTACTCCAAGGAGATAACTGTCTGTGGTAAGGTGCCAGAGAAGATAACTGGTTTGGGCTATGGGTTGATAATCGAAGTGGTTAGAGAATGGTACAGACATTTCCAGCTGTTGCCATTACAAGAAAATTCTCGATGCCTTTTCTTTCCCCCTTCTTTTTTTTTTCACAAATGCATAAATTGGAACAAACCAAAAAAAAAGGGTCACACTATGTATATTTTAAGAAAGTCCCTCACCTCCTCTTTCTTTTCCTCATGAAACATTTTTGAATGAGTCAGTATTAATTCAGCTAACACTGCAGTGTAGCTTAAATATTCCTGCACTTCCATCTCTAAAATGCCACCGAGTATTTTGATCACTGGCTGTAAGTGTCACTGCTTTCTCCTCTTACTGAGAAAAAGACTTTACCATCATAATTTACTCAGTAATTACTTTAATGAGGGCTTAATAGGGTGGCAAACAAGACCTTTCATTGGCAGCATGACTATCTAGAATAAATTGAAATTATAATAAACCCTCTTTTCTAAAGGGACCCAAGAGGATGGAACAGCCTTTATACAACCAACAAATTAGTCTCACAGAATGATGTGATGTGTCACAAGGTAAAGAACGAAGAGCTCACTGCCCATCTATTTTGTTACGCTTTTGTAAATTACAAATAAAGGGATACAGTATCCTGATTTGCCACAGAACGCAGTAGCTGCAAAACAGAACAGTAATGGTGACATTAACTCTTGACAACTAGCAGTGTGTGCTGTGCGTAATAGTAAAGTGGTATAAGGAAGGGTACTATGACACATGCAAAACAAATAATGTTTTGTGAGATGTGGTTATGCACCCACTTTGATTGCAAGGAAAGGGTTTGTTTAAATGGTTTTGTATAACCAATAATTTGTTAACCAACGAAACCTGTCTCCAAACCAAGGAAACGTGGATTTGTGCTTGTTTGCTACACAGCATGTTCTTACTAAGCAAAACGTACCTCCTCATGTTTGTATTGCATTTGAATGATGTAAGCAGCATCTACAGCAGTTGCCTTCCTGCCACTGAAATGAATAGCTTTTATAACCAGAAAGATCCTCTGCAGAAGATGAAAGACCAATTTTTAGATATAATTGTTCTAAAATGTCAATATCCTTAAAATCAGGTATCCTTCTCGCCATTTTATTTTAATTTCAAATTAAAAACAGATTAAATTTGCACCTTATATGTTTGCATCCACATGTGTCATGAAAATCTATCATAGCTTGAAGGACTCCTTAGAATGACTTCAGCAGGCTCATAATTAATAAAAAGTGCCACAGAAAACATGTAGACAGGGTAAAAATGTCACTTCTCTCCTTTCCTGCTCATTGGTGATGAAAGCATATTATCACATGCTAAGTTTTGAAACCGTTCTCTGGCTTTGTGGTGGTGACTCACAGATGTGAGAAGGTTGGTTCTGTGAGGATGAAATTCAGTCATATGCAGAGGCGAGCTGTGCTGCAGCGATCCTTTGTGTTGAGGTGAAATCCCCCTGCCTGTTCCAAAATAAACCTCTCGCAAAGGGCCGGCTCTGTCATTCCTGTGGCCTTAGCGCGGTGGCATACACACATGGACACTTCTTGACACTCGCCATCAAATCCTGCCTGTAGTAATCAAAACCTGGCCCTGAATCAGACAGATATTCAATTGTGCTATATAGAGTGGGCTACTTCGTAAATTTAAACCTGTTAGTATGTAGAACGATCATATTTCTAAATGTCTTTTAGTGACATTTTCTGGTTTTTAGGTTCATAATATGTTTGTTCATCTTACTCCCATTTCCTAGAGTGAACATTTGGCCTGTGTGACTGGTCTGATCTTCAGATCCAGCTGGAAAGACAAAAACTTTATGCAAGACAATTGCATACTCTTTTAAGTATTTAATTGCTATATTTTACAAGCAGCTTTGTCGTATACCTTAAAATGAAGCTAATCCTAATACAAGGCAAATTACTAAGGAAAACATGGGGAAAACCTTGTTAGGACTAACTAATTCCAGTTTTATAATTCCATTTTTTTCCTCCTTGTGAGACAATTAAAAAAAAAAAAAAAGAAAATCGTGTTTTTGTTTCCTGTAGGAGATTTGCATGGAAACCTGGACGATCTTTTGTTGATATTCTATAAGGTGAGTAGGCAGTCCATGATGTAGCATTTTCACTTCACAACTTGTTGTTAAGAACATGTATTTACGTCTGGTAGATGTGTCACTGTTAGAACGGTGCATGCAGTGTGCCTGTACCACACACGCAAATCCTGGAACAATTTGAATGGTGTCTTTGTTGTAGCTTTTTCTTCTCCATATCCTCCTGCTCACTGTGAAGGAGGAGATCCAGGAGATCTTTCTCTTCCTAAATGTTGAGCAGCAGCATGAACCGAAACTTAAGAGGGTTCCTTGCAATGTGTCCAAAGTCCTGACGCTGTTTTATATTCCATATTGACTAAAGTCTTCTTTAAAATCTGCTTTAAATCTTCTAAAATCAGGAGCTAACTTAGTTCCTGATGTAACACTACACCATGGGTAATTTTGGCCCTCCAGGGAAAAAATGCAGCAGCTTTCATTTAGGCTTTCCATTGATGCCTGCAAAGTGTTTTTTATTATTTTTTGTTGACAGGAAACAAAAACGAGCGCTATCTGTTTAAAAGCTTTTTAAGTCTTGGAAGCAATCAGATAGTCTGCACAAAATGGAAATACCTTGGGCACCCTTTACATATCCTTGAACAGCTGCTCACTTTTTAATGTTAAAAAAGCATGGTGCTCCTTTACTGATGTGAAGAAAATTAAGCTCCAGGCTATCCTTACCACAGTTGTATATTTACATGAAGATGCAGGAAATTTCCCTATGTTTAGTTTCACATTTATCTTTAGCATGAATCACCACCCTTCATTTAGCAGATACTCCCTTTGATTTGAGCTTTCCAGGGGAAAGGGTTTGTGTCTGATCCTTATACATTCATCTGCACTGAATGGAGACTGAAGTGGGCTAAACCAGGTGTTTAAATGATGTAATTCCCCCCTGCTTCCAACTTTGTTACACTTTATCTGGCACTTGTTGAATGGAAACTTGGTTGGTTTGCCCAAGTGCATAACTGAGGCCTCTGCTGGAAGTATAATCAGACCTTTTTACAGAGTTCTGCTTTCCTTATTAATCAATTGATTACGTTTAGCTGGTTCTTGGCTTGCAGTCTTTTAGCTGTTATTTTAATTAGACAATCTTCCTTTTTGAAACTAGAATAAGAGTATGATACAGATTGATTTGGGAAATGGGAAAAACAACTATTTTTAAGATAAATGCTCAGATATTATTATATTTGCAACTGCAATCAGCCTCAATTTTACTGTTTTGGAATAAACAGAAGACAATCTTCTTCCTCTCTCTAATGGATGTTACAAAGAGAAAAAACCTCTAAGCACGGACTAAATCCTGACTTAATAAATTCAGAGCCAAACCTCCCACTGACTTCAGAGACTGGAGTTTACCCCCAGTTGTTGTCTGTTGAGCTGCTAGGGGGGGTCCTTCCACCAAACTGAATAAAATAGATAAATATTTTGTCATTTCATAGGGGTTGAGAAAATAGAGAGCACATGATAGAGCTGCTTAGATATTTAAAGCAAATTAGATGACACAGTTATTTTCTGTCCCCTCTGAGCAGTTTACTCAGCCGAGAAGCGAACCCAATCAGCCTCTGCAATGTATTTTTTTCTGCTTCCCTAACTCTGTTTCAGTGGGAAGGGATTTCTTCCTCTGCATTGGTATGAACCATCCATAACCTTAAACAAGAGGGTGCAATCCTGAACAGTGCCATGAAGAGTGTAGTGATCTCCGAGCTGAAATGGCTGGTGAAGCATTTTGCAGGCCTGCATGCAGACCAGGTGCCTTGAGCGTGGTGCTCTGTCCAGGGAACTTTTATCACAGCACTTTCACCAACTGCCAACAGCAAACACACAGAAGCTAGCAATCTACAGTTTATCAATACAATGCTGGTTGTAATAGTGTATAATTCTTAAACCTGGCTTGGGTGAGGCTAAGATAATTACCTCTTTCTCAATAGCCAGTTTGTAAGGTTCATTCAGTCCCTGCGTTAAACTCCATTAAATCACAGCACTTCCTGAAATTTCTTGAAAACCTTGAATTTTAAATTATGTATTGCTAAGTTAGATTGTTAAATGGATGCTATGGATAGAAATAGCCTGAAGCTGTAGAAAATACAAACGACAAACGGAAGTTAGTTAGTCACTAACCCAGCAGATACAGTAATGATGCCCAGCAGCAAGCTGCTAATCATTAGAGGGCCTTGTTCACCTCTTTGACATGTCAGAGGCTGCAACAGCCTTTAATTTAGTTTTGCTTTTATTGTTGGTCAAAACACAGAAAAGAAAGTAAAAACTTTGCATGAGTGCACAACAAAACTGAAATGTCACATTGAAGTTGGAAGTCCAAAACAAACTCTCATTTAAAACTAAGAGTTGTGGGTAAGCTTTTTGAAAAGAAGAATGATAGAGTCTGAAGAGTGCTTCAGCAGATCTGTCTTTCCGTGAGGACTGCAGTTACAGAGTGGTTGTGTGTATACTAACAGTCTGCTGGCGAGTCACATGCCTACGGGTTTTAAGGCAAAGCTTTTATTAATTAATCTTTCCAGGAGCTGCTGCTGAGTCTCTCTCGTCCATTCTTTTTTAAAACCACCACAACCCACTGCATTATCAGAGTCTCATAAATTGCTATTGTAGGGAGCAGAGAGCAACCACGAGCCTCCTCTAAGTTAACTTGCAGAGAGCTGGTGAGAGGCTATGGCAAAACCCAAACACGTCGTAGTTACAGCAGTCAGGAATGTGCCGCGGTGGGAACTGAGAGAAACAGGATTCATTACTGCATCCCGGCATAACGCACTGATTGGGACAAAAAAGATATTTCCTAATGGATTCAAATTAAACGTTTAATTGAGTCCCAGGCTAAATCACGCATCCTGCAATAAACCTGCTAAGGCAGTACACCAGGGAATGCCACAGGAACACAGGAAATTGTGGACACTGATGTAGAAGCTATATTGAGGAAGTGGGATGTCTTGCAATGCTGCCAAACCTGTTAAGAGTGGCTTCCACAGTTGTACTGTGATTTTATAGATGTTCTATTGATAATTCTTGTGCATTCCAATTGTGAAAACAGAGGTTTTCTTTTTCTGGCAAGTCAAAATGGAAATAATATTTCTGATATTCATGATCGGAAATGATGAAACTACATGTAGTTACTGCTATGCTTTCTGTAAGCTGATGGCAGCCATTGACTTGTTGATAACTAATCTAATGAAACATACCATCAATTCACAATACTAGCTTTTGATAAGTCACCATTCATCATAAAGCATTGCTCTGTATCTTCAGAAAAAATAAGGTAAGAAATACCTGTGTGTACAGCCTCTCAGGTTTGTGAGTGTTCAAGTATATCTTTGCCCTGGGGCGGAGCAAAGTGCAATGTGAGTAAAATTCAGGTAGTGCTTTCAGGATTAAAGCAACTGGAATCAAGTTCTTCAGAGTTCTGTATTAAGATTTGATGCCCTCTGGACTATGGTCTTTCTCAGGAGTTTTGGAAGCATGCACTGCAAACAAAGTAAATATATGAAATCCATTTTCTTACTGTGTAAGGAAGAGGAAACATGAGGACCTTCAGACTTGTGTCAGAAGATAATTTTTCGTGGATTTGTCTTCCATTCTAAATGAATGACACCCTTCTATTTGCAAGTGCGTAACTTCCTGGCAGCAGCTGCATTAACAGAGAAGTGTATTTTATTACAAGTATAATGTTTCGTTTGGTCCCTGTCAATTTAATTTAATAGAGGAAATGATTAGAGACAGCATCATAAGAACACCTAGAGAGGTCATCTCTTCTCTGATGGCTCATACAGGTTGTCTGATATGGAGGTTTTTGTTCTAAGCAGTGGAAATAAAGAAATGTTGCATTTTAGGTTTCTGTATTATGCAGGATTTTTTGCAGATTTTCTAGCAATGTGATCTCATTTAAGTGCTACTTCCTTTATTACAGTAGCATAGCAGCATCTCTAAATGTCCTTGTTTTTGTTTCCCTCTGCAGAATGGTCTGCCTTCAGAACAAAACCGTTATGTCTTTAATGGTGATTTTGTTGACAGAGGGAAAAATTCTATGGAAATACTTATAATCCTATTTGCATTTCTGCTTATCTACCCCAACGATTTACACTTGAATAGAGGAAACCATGAAGACTATGTCATGAACCTAAGGTAGATTTTAGGGGGCGGGGGGGAGTATCTGGCCTTTCACTAGAAATGTTGGAGCTTTTGAATGCTACTTTAGCCACTGTGACATTCTAAACCAGAAATAATGTTTTCTCAGGTATTCAGGTGTCACTTTGCATCTTCAAGATGTTTGAAGGGGGCAGAGAACATCCTCATTACAGACAGACACTTGAATGGGAGTCATGTCTTGTCTCTGACCTAATCACAATCCATTGAAGTCACCTGGCTTAGTGCGGCTTCCAGAGTAACAAGTTTGGGGAAAGGCAACGGACAGAAGGATGATATTCTGGTTAAAGCATTGGCTTTTTCCATAGCGTAGCAAAAGACATAACAGTATGCCATATAATGGAACCAGTAAACCAGGAGCTGGTATTTCACTTAACTTTAGGCTAAGATGTCACTTCCCAAACGCAAGGGGCAGGTAAATATCCTACCTTCTACGCAGTGGAGGTCCACTAGTTGGGAGGTGGCAGTCTGCCCCATTGCAGGAACAGCAGAGACCCTGTTTTCTAACACAGACATTTGTACTCAGCTGTACAGCGCTGCCAAGGGTGTGAGCACAGCCAGCGTCTCTGGCTGCAGTGAAAGTGTGACCTGTAGACAAAATAATCTCACAGACGTGATGAGAACTCCTCAGTCTTGGTCCCTACAATTCTAAGCCGCCCCAGTAAGTCTTTTGGTGGCTAACTGGTGGGTAACCAGTTGTACCCCTTCCAGCATTTGATGCATGCACACAGAATGTATTGCTCTTCAGTCCAGGTATAAACCTGGGTTAGAGGCCAAGATTCAAATCATATTAATGATCCATGTAAGAGAATGAGTTTCACACGATCCTGCCTTTTTCTGCACTTAATTACAAAAAACACTGTAAACCAAGATCAGTTATTTCATCTACAAAGTAGGACAATTCCCACCCAAAATAATGGAACATATTAACAAGTCTGTGATGGTACGGAGTGCAAAGATGCATTCCTGTGTGTGGTTCTTTGTGGGGCATTTTGATTAGCAGTGCTGCACATCGGTAAATTTGAAAGCTGAGAGTTAGGGTGTTGTGAAAATGCCCCTCGCACCAAGGATGTCTTGGTGTTAAAAGCATGAGGTATCAAAATCCTTGTCCTTTGTGGGGGAAAACACATGACAGATGACATTGTCTAATAAAGTTGAGTGATTTAGGACAAAGCTCTGCGGAGGTTTTGTGGAAATTTTTACCGATTATCAGTTAGGTTCCTTGGAAATTTCTCTCCAGTATCTAAGCAGTAAAACTGCTAAGCTTTAGATGAGAAAAAGGCCACTTAACAATTATTGGTCTGGATTCTGTTCCTGATCTCTTGTATGTACAAGAAATCAATTTAACTCAAGTCTTGAGACAGAGCAGAAGAAAGCACATTTAAACTGAGGTGAGACAGAATAGTGGGAGAAAAAGAGCAGTAGAAAACTCCTGGCAATCACTGTAGTGCAGAAAATCATGCAGAAGGGGCATACTGGAAACCAGTTCATGATGCTGTCCTATTTTCAGATACGGCTTCACAAAAGAAGTTTCTAAGAAGTACAAGGTAAGATTCCTCCTTCTTCACCTATATTTTCTCTGTAGTCTTGCATTTGTGTAAATAAGGAAACTTCCAATAACTTTATTTAGGTGTAGTACAGAATGACTTTAGTAATGTAGTTGAAATCATTTTTCATTTTCAGGGGAATAACTGATGAAACAACTTTAAGTATTAGCCTTTTATGCTCAGAGATCGATGGGATGAAATAAATAACATTCATAAGGCCACTCAAGAATACAAAAAGAGGTGAATGTAAAAGAAAAATTAAATGCTGTAGAGACAGTCAAATGGAACTAAAGCAAATGTCAGAACATGTTTGTCAGTGTTGCAGTTCATGGTGTCACAGGGATGGAACTGTTCATACAGACTGTGGCAGACACTTCAGCAAAATCTTGAACTTCGGAGCAACAGAATCTGCAAGGAAGAGGCTCTAATAGAAACACTATGTTTTACAGGACTATGGGAAACAGATTTTGTGTCTTCTGCGAGACGTCTTTAGCTGGCTTCCCCTCGCCACTATAATTGATAGCAAAGTTCTTATTCTGCATGGAGGGATTTCAGACACTACGGATTTGGATTTCCTGAATGCACTTGAGAGAAGTAAGGTAAGAGATCATACTCACATGGGGCTAATTTTGTTTTCTTTAAAAAATGTAGCAGTACAAATGCTAAGATCAAGTTGTTTATGTTAGGAAAGAAAATGGCCGCTGTATAAGGCGTGTAAGGAAAAAAAAGAGTCTTGTTTTTCTTCAGAATCAGTGATTAGAAAGGAAGGTTTCAGTAGGTGTTGGGAGCCAATCGTTTCGCTGCTGTAAAATAGCGCAGGTCTTTTGACTTTAAAATAGCTAAAAACACTTTAGGTACCTCTTTCCTGCAGTGATGACGCATTAGCCAGAAAGTATGAAACGTACTTAATTCTCAGGCATTTCTAAAGTCTTCAGAAATCAATCTAGCCGTGCCTTTCCGGCACTGCCTTTTGTCCTGGTGCTTCTGCCATCTGTTGGGGCGGGGGGGGGGGGGGGGGGGGAGCCCTTCCAGCAGGATCAAACTTCAGGACGTGGTCTTGAGAAAGAAGAAACTACTGCTTTTCAGGGATTTAGAAGACAGAAGCATCAATTTTTTTCTGAAATAGGGCACAAACACAGCTCTTTCAAAACAGTGGAAAATGCTGCTGGATTTGGACAATGAAGTTGAGATGCCTGCTTGTGAGTGAGGTGCTTAAGTTCCTCATAATCAGTGGAGATCCAGGAGATCTGGTGGAGATCCAGATCTTTATAATTGCTCAGATGTAGGTCTCCAGTGCTGTTCTTGGAAGCACCCTCTAGCCAAGGGATGTCCCCTCTGGCCTCTGCCTGACTCTGGAGAAAGTCTTCTTCGCAGGTCTCCTCCACCGGTCGCTTTTAGGTCTGGGTCATATCTGCCCACCTCACGCTAATTCACAGACATGGCAGAGTGTCCCAGATGGCACCAGATACCTATGTTTAAGCAACTTTGGGTACCTTGTCATTAGTGTCTGTGGAATGGAGAGCTGTTTCTCTCGTCCTCACATTTTCTAATACGAAAATAAATGCTTTTCAGGACAGTCAGGTGTATCTCCATTTCTTAAAGATGTGAAAAAGGGCAATGAATACTTCTGGTCATCAGAGTCCAGGCTCTGTTGGCTATACCACTGTACACTAAAATTGGGCGTCTAACTACAGCGGTAGGTGTCTCAGCTGTGAGCCGAGTCCTGCCCACGCTTTCACCAAGGCTGGGCTCAGTGTGTTACTGATGGAGGATCTGTGAAATGCAGAATTAACAGGTGAGGGTTGCTGCCACACAAGACCGTGGCTAATGAGACATGTGTGGGCCACAGCTCAGGGCAGTAGCACTCAAGGCCAACTGATGCATTTTAATTGGTACAGCTGGCAACTGTCAGGTCTCAAATACCGGTCAGTGCACTGGGGAATAACCCAGTGTTTTGCATTTTGTTTTGCATCAGTCCTTTGTTAAAGAGTAGAACTGGGGGGAGGAGGGGGCGGTGTCTGTGAGGGGGTGGTTTTGTTGTTGGGGTTTTTTTGTTCAAAACATGAGCTAGTATGAGAAAATTACAAACAAGAAGAAAAGATACTCCCTGGAGAAGAGTCTGCATTCATGGGCATTTATGGAGCCATAGCACACAGCTCCACAAAAGCAAATGCCTGTGCATATTGGAGGAGGTTGATTTAACAATGAAAGGGCCTGATTTAATACTTCATCAATTTCACTGTTATCCTCCTGATGTTCCATTTATTTTAGCTGAATTAACCTAGCAGCACACTACTGTATCAGAGCAGTAGTGAACACAGATTCATCTTCAGTGCAGTATACATGGGTATTTTCAGTTTCCAGTGACACTTAAGTGTCTGCCCTCAGCCCAGACCATCCTTGCTGTATAATTAGAGCTTGTGATTGACTGTGTCTTGGAATGGGTCTGTGTGTCATGATGAGAATATGAGAGCAGCTCTGAAGAGGCTGGCTGCTGACAGATGTAAAGCCAAATTTCTGCAAGTGCCAAATAGCTGCAGCTTCCACCAAACCTGTGAGTTCAGGACATGAGAGTTTGGTATTGAGTACAGGAAACGGGAGATGATGTGCCTTTCTGCTGACATCTCTGTATCATCTTTATGTTCTGGTAACTCTTTCAATGATTTTTTTTTTTTAAGTTGAAATCTTTGATGCGGCCACCAAAATCAGGGGGAGACAGACAGGACCAAGTGACAGAGAGAATTCCCACGACCAGACCCAGTGCACACATTGCCAACCGGAATGTTGCAGGAAACACACAACACATCTCTTCATCGGGCTCTACTGAGCCTTCAGGCTCAAATTCTTCTTCAGACCCCACCCTGAAGGAATGGAAACAAGTAGGTGAAACCAAAGACAGACTGATACCAAGCAACACCCTGAGCACACCCGGCAGGCGCTCTGTTCAGGCAGCACGTTCGAGTCTGAGGGGACGGTCTCTTAATAAGGAACCCATCGCTCTTGGCAGTATACTAGCCGGCTATTAGTTCTTTGGATGCTTTTGTAGACCCGGTAATAAGGGCTTGTGGTTTTATACCTTACAATTTACCCGGTGTTTCCTTTTCTTAGCCGTTAGGAGGAGGAAACTGCTCGGTATGGGATGTGTTTGCCTGCCCTCCTGTGGTTGGATCTGTTGGTACATACCTGGTGGTTTAAGTAGGTCAGACTTCGCAGTTGTCGGCGATAGTGAGCACCTTTTTCTTGGCTGTGGTTTTAGCGCTGAATGCTGATAGCGTCCGAAAAACCTCAGCTCCTGAGACCTACAGGCTGATTACTTGAGTGCGCAATTTTGGCCTCTAGCTGTTCATTTTCTCTTGAATATTAGAGGCAATATGGAGCCCTTGTCATGCTGTAATTTAATAAATAGTGATAATTTGAAAAGTTTAATTTGCACAGCTATTTAGAAGCTCAAAATTGAGTGCTGTGCAAGTTTATTTTTCTGAGCTTCCTTTCAGACAGCTCCTTTAAGGGGCACACAATTCCGTTTTGCTTTTTGAGAAGCAAATCTGTCTCTGAAAATGTGACTTCCTGAGCGACATATCTGACCTATAAACTAATGTCGTGGGCACAAGCAACCCCTCAAATTTGACACTCCCCCAGCTAGCCAAGCCACCACTGAGCCACACTCACAAAGGTGAAGTGGAATGTGTTAGTGTAAACCTTGTCCAGTGAGGTTTAAACAAACATTTTGCCTAATATTTGCTACTGACTAGAATTGTTAGGTTAGGTGACTTTAAACCGTGATAATTCATCCGCATGTCTGTAAAATCTTGTTTTGAAACATGACCTAACCCAAGACAACAAAGCCAAAGGCAATTCTTTTCACGTTTAGAGCCGGCACTCCCAAGCTTAGTTTAGGTAAACCCACCAACCCGTGTGGTAATCTGACGTGTGCCCCTCACACCTGTATGCAAAGAAGGCAGCTCCTGCTGTCTTTGAAACAGCCGGGGGTAGCAGGGCCATTCCTGATACCCCTACCCGAGTCTGGAAACTGCAGCTGTAAAAGGTGGTACATTTCTGAAATATTTCATCTGAAACAACCCCAAATCTAGGTGTTTCCTAAGAAAAGGAAAAAAAAAAAAGTTTCAGCCCAAAAGAATGCCCCGCTGAAAGGAAGAAAACATGAGACCTGCTTGTGAGCTCAGGTGTGTTTTCTCCCCATACTTTTGCCACAGCCAGTACTTTAGACAGCCACAGCCTGTCAGTCCTCACCTACTACCAGTCCTCACTTGCTTGAGTTCGCTATTTACAGATCCTTGACATTCTCTGGAGTGATCCAAGAAGCCAAAATGGCTGTACACCAAATAAATGCCGAGGAGGAGGTTGTTACTTTGGCCCTGATGTCACTGCCAAGCTGTTTGAAAGGTATAATCTGAAGATGCTCATCAGGTCTCATGAATTTAAGCCGGAAGGTTATGAGATCAGTCACGATGGGAAGGTAAGATGCTTCCATGTAAAGCAGCATTCTCCTGTGAATTTCACGGGCACATCCACAGTAGATTTGTCCGTGAAGTTAATAAAGCAACATGAGTGACTTCTTTAAAATGAGTTTGCGGGAACTGTGTGCTAGACATATGCTAGAACGAATTATGGAGTTCTGACAATCAAAGTTCTTTACAGCGTCAGGGAATGGGGACTGGCTTTTTACTCACGTGAAAACAAATCAACATCAAAAAAAAACCCTGAGGAGAGTTATGTGTAAATACAGTGCAAGAGATGCTCTAAGGCTCTAGAAGCCTTTTAGCTCAATCGTTTCTCTTCTGGCCCTGCTTTCTGACATGCTGCATCAGGAGGCGAGCAAGACTCCTGAAAACCAGGTCCGTCTTCGAAAGAGGTTTCTGTGTACAGCATGCTGTATCACACTGTCCTCTGAACTGAAGTCTTCCTATGACAGGCCAAAAATGCCAGCCTGGAGCTCTGACTCGAAAAGTGCAACCAATCCGGTGAACGACATAGCTGTTGATCTCTGGTTTTATATGCAGACACTTGATTTCATAACCTGTATGTTCTTCTACGATCAGTTTCAGAAACCAGTCTCGAGAAGAGTTGCTCTAGCCAAGCCAGTTTCTTTGTTTCCTATGACCAGGTTATCACTATATTTTCTGCCTCCAACTATTACGAAGAGGGGAGCAACCGGGGAGCGTACATCAAATTGAATCCTGAACTGATTCCTCGGTTTGTACAGTATCGAGTCAGCAAGTACACACGCAGGCAGCATCTTCGGGAGAGGTAAAGCTGTGCGTGGTATGCACCGAGCGTGCACTCACTTAGCATGTGAGCACCTGCCACAAATCTGTACTGTGACTGAATAATTGAACAGGCACCTATTTTCCTTGGTTTTCTATTTTACGATTTCAAAATTAATGCAGTAGACAAAACATGTTCTAAGTACTCTAATTTGGTTTCCTGAGAAACTCCCAAAGGTAATTAGACATGGTAAGCGGTTAGAACAGACAATTGTCAGGGACTCATAAAGGGCCTGCACCTGTCTGTCAGGTCTGCTGTAAGACTGCAGCATTAATCTGGACAAATCCTGTTATGAATTGAGTCCAAAAAGTTTATGATGACAGCTTTGCCGTGCCTACCACTGTGGTCAGATTTACTAAAGCAAAGCAGCTTAGAATTACCTGCATAAACTCGATTAGCTCATAAGTTCAGATTATTTTTATGGGGCTTTGTTTGTTTTGTTGGTTTGTGGTTTTTTTCTTTTCCCAGTGTTGTCTTTTGATGACCCTAAGCATACTACATGTTAAAGGATATTAGAAATTGATAATAAACATTGAAAAGCATAAAGTGCTAGAAGAGTTGAATCCTTTAATGATCTGCTCTGCATTTTTTGCCTCCTAGGGTGGGTACAATTGAATCAGCTGCCTTGAAGTCCTTACGAGAGAAGATTTATGCTCACAGGTCTGAACTCAGGAGTGCTTTTGCACAGTATGACCCCAACAGCACAGGTAACACAACCTCTCAGCCCAGCTGCCACCACAGGGAAAACAGCTCCCAGGCGTGTGTGGGGGCAGAGAAGAGGGGTCCTGCCTGCCAGCATAAGGCAGAAGGGCAGCAGAGGCCGGCTGATTTTACATTCTTCCTGACCACAGAGGATAGGTGTTAGCAAGTGCTTAGCCCCAGGAAACAACTGGAGGGGATGAAGCTTGAAGTAGGTAGAAGAAAACAACTGAAACCCATGGGCAAATAAGGAAATGTTTTTTGTTGTTGGGCAGAGAGTTTGGGTAGGCAAATCCAGCTCCAGAAGCTCTAAGGTCACCCCCTTCACTTAGGCGTGTCTTCAGATGTCAGACCGGGAACTGCTCTCCTTCCAAGTCCCTGGGATGTATTTGAGTAAAGATGACTGGCTGTGCCACTAGGAGACACACACTCACCCATCGGCTGAAGAAAAGTCAGTGTTGAGTTGATAAATGAACCTCTTATTGTAGGAGCTAAGAGTTAATGCTTTCTAGCACAAATACACCTTTTCCTCATGATGACTTCTCATTTCACTGGGTTGTCACCTGTACCCCTAGAAGGGCAATCGCTAACGTGACAGCACTGTTTCTTTAGCCACTGAACAACTGTTGAATGTATTCTGTCTTGTTGGGTTTTCAGCCACACACATCTCTATAGTTGCAGCTCAAATCTGAAGGACGCATCATGGCATAACCTGGTTTTCTCAAAAGGTGTTAAAACATGCTCAGCATCGTAACAGAATCACAAAGTTGCTGAGGTTAGAAGGGATGTTATAGAAATGTCTAGTCCAATCCCATTGCTCACTGTTACGAGAGTTTTTTTCCTAGCGTTAGGAGAAAATGTTTGTTTTGCAACTGTTCTTAAAAACAGCAGAAGGTGTGCTGGTGACTGATGCATGCCGTGCTGGGTCACCTACCACTCGTAACCATGAACTGACCCCTTCCGGCAGGCAAGATTTCCGTCGATGACTGGGCTGCAGCGATGGAGTCTGTCCTGCAGCTGGAACTGCCCTGGAGGATGCTGCGGCCGCAGTTAGCACAGATGGACCCAGACGGAGACATTGACTTCATGTCATGTTTTTACGATTTGAAAATAGATCAACCTATAAAAGAGGTAAGGGGGAAACCGCCTCCTTGCAAATCTGGGAGGAACAGCTTGTGGTGCAGCTTGAGGCACAAGAGGGTGGTTTGGCCAATCAGGTGGACATCGACAGCTGAACTAGTTCCCCAGCTTCCTTTTATAGTCACTGGAGGGAAACGAGAACTGCTGGGGTACGACTCATCATTCCCTGCTAAGGTAGATGCTTAAAATAGGTTGGATGAATCACATGCGTGAACTGCTTCTTACTTTCTGTTAACCCGTGAACTCTCAAGGGCGTGCGGATAAGGGAGCCGAGGAGATGCAGCAAACCCTACCTTGCGCACTCAACCCTCGCTCTTTGAGACGAGCTTTTCAAATGTGCTCCAGAGCCAGTTCAGGCGCCTGTAGGAGGGAGTCACAGTTGTAGCTGGACTTGTAGATGTTAAATGGCAGCTGGGGTCTCTTCCACAGCATCCGGTTGTTACTGAGTGGCTGCGCAGGGCTTCAGTACTCAGCTATCGCCACCGTTTTTCTGAACGGCAGGATCCGTTCACACACGAACAGCGAAAGCTTTGTATCAGCGCATGACATACACAGCTAATCTTCCCCAGATTAGCCACAGTTCCACAAATAATTACTGAAGGTAGGAGGTGTGACGGGCTCCTTCCCCCCCTGCCCTGCCATCTGAAAGTGACAGGTTTCAGCTGACTACTCCTCAGGGCAAGACACACAACTGTCATGCCAGGGAACTCGAGCATAAGGATTTTCTATTTAAACATCTGACAAGTTAAACTGGGAAAACAGATTTAGGTAGTACGCATGCTGTTGGCTAGATGAACCCACACCAAGGTCTGAATGGTTTCCTGTACGTGATTTCAAAACCAGGTTCAGCCAGCCTTGGCGGAAACCCTGTGCAGATACAGAAAGGATCTGGAGATCATCTTTAACATCATTGACAAAGATCACTCAGGTAAGCCCAGTTAACTTCATTGTACCAGCCCTAGGAAGCCTATGCTAGTTATCTTTCCCCACTGTGTTTCCTCCTTAAGGCTTCTAAATATAGAGGAACCAGAGGTGATGTCATCTTTCCAGTTTAGTGCAGACTAATTTTAGCAGTCAGGCTCTAACCATGTAAGGGAACGGTGCAAGGAGCCTAACGAGAGAAAAAATTCTCACATATCCCATCTCCAGTACTGGCTTCACTCTCCTGGGGGCTTCTTCCTCCCTTCCACTCTCACTCTCAGTATTTGCTGCTTTCTCAGTTCCACTGGTGAAAGCATTAGATCATTACCTGAAGTAAAAACGTACTGCAGTCAGGAAACCACAACACCCACCCAAGCCGCGGCAGGCAGGGACCTTTCTGGCCATGAAGAAGTGTGCGTGCATGCGTGTCTGCAGGAAGGGGAAATGGCGCGGGACAAAGCAACCTGCCGTCTGTCTCCTTTAGGTCTGATTTCTCTGGAGGAGTTCAGCCAGACATGGAGACTCTTCACTGCTCACCTGGGCATCGATGTGTGCGATGAGGCCCTCGACAAGTTAGTCCTCAGCATAGACTACAACAAAGACGGCCACATCGACTTCAATGAATTTTTGGAGGCCTTTCATGTGGTTCACAGACTGGAGAAAAAGGCAAACTCATGAGCAGGGCCGTTGCGGGCGCTCGCCCTCCTGTCGTTAGACACAAGCAGTCTGGGAAACGGTCTCCAGCTGGGCAAACAATAAACGGCTGTTCGACGTGGTAAGCCTTGCGGTCACTGTGTAAGCCTTTGCTTAGTCCCTTTGGGAGGGACACCTGCTAGTGCCGAGACAGAAGAGATGAAAACCCACTGCTGCTAGCATTACTGCGTCACTGCCGCATCAGTAGAATTTACCCCCCCCCCCTTGGTGGCCCCTCCCCGTCAGTGTAACCTGTGAACACTGCCCAGGGAGCCCCTGCAGCCCCCTGGGCAGAGAAACGCTGGACGTTTCTTTCAGCAGTCCTGAGTGACGGCTGGGAAATGGCGCTGACCCCCACAGGGAACACACCGGACCTTCCCCGGCGACACAGCAGGCACGACAGAGGCCTTCCACGGGCTGTCCCGTCCCGGAGAGGGCAACAGGGAGGAAGGGCCATCCCCTTAACAGCCGTACTTCTGCACTTAATCTTGCTCTTCGCGTGGTGCGGCAAAATGAAACCGCCCCAGGTCCCCGTCTCTCCTCCCTGAAGCTTACAGACACAAGGGGAAGGAGCGCAGCTGAAAGGCCCTGACGCTTGCCCTGCATGTCCCCTTGCTGCTGTTACTGATCCCTGCGTTCGCGGGGCTTTGGAGCTAAGGAACAGTTACAAGTGGCCACCTGAAGGAAGGCTCCATGCGCAGCGTGCTAATGTAGCGTGCGACAGATCACAAAATAAAGCTTCAGCATTCACAGTAATGTGTGGGGGGTGTCTCTCTGTTCTGGTACCCTACGCATGTCAGAGCACAGCACACCCTTCCTGAAGATGAACTGGATTTCTTCAAAACAAAGAGAGGAGTAAAGACATTAAAGTCATTTTGTAGGTCTGTAAAACAAAAGTAATTTTGACACGATGGGCCCGCCTGGAGCTGGATGCCCCTCCCTTGCGCGTTAGGCCCTGGCAGCAGCACCCTGAGAGCGAGTGGCACGCAGCCAGGCCGGCAGCTCGCTGGAAGCAGCGTCACCTCACTCTGCCTCGGCACGCGCACTGCGCAGAGTGCTCTAGGGGCACAAAAAGGCTCCAGCTGAGCCCGTCTTCAGATTTTAACGGCAAAGGATAAGCTAAGTAAAGTAGCTAGGTTTTATTTAGTAACAGTGTTGAAAGTACAAAAACCCCATCCTTCTCAGTTTATCCTCACAGCACGTAACAGCAGGAGCCCAGGGCAAGGCGCGG